CCAATTTTATTATTTATCTTAGTTCACTATTTTTTTGTGTGATTCCACTAAGTGTAGGGACCACGGCGGGACGTTACACTTTTATGGTATCAGAGTCGGTCGAGTCTTTTGGGATACTCTGTGGGGAGTGATCCTTCTAGGTTTCTGATGTGTCATATCTCTAATATGTGTTGATTTTGGTGAGTTGTAGTGGTGAAGTGTTAGTAAAAGAATATTTGAATTCTTTTAGTATGGTGAAGCCTCAGTTTGATCAGATCGTTAGGGCTATGAAGATGATGGCCATGGTGATGCAGCAGCAAAGTGCTCACTTTGCTTAGATGGAGGCGGGTAGAGATGCGGTTGAGGCAGCTAGACCGGCGGTCTCTCAGGATGGGAGAGATTTAGTAGAGTTAAGGAGAAGTTAGCCTCATCAATTCAAGAGGGGATTCAGATCTCGATGTGATAGATTTGTGGTTTTGTGAGATGAGAAGATCTTCAGTGTTTTGGGATCTTCTGAGGAGAGGAAGTTGGCCTATGCAATATGCATACTGGCAGGCGAGGCTGAGTACTGGTGGAGAGGCACCAAACAGATGTTAGAGAGAATGAGTGTTTCTGTTGATTGGGATTGCTTCAGGGGGTCTTTTTGGAGAAGTATTTCTCAGATAGCGTTAGATATGCTAAGGATGTAGAGTTCATAAGACTGCAGCAGGGGAGCATGTCTGTTCCAGATTATGCTATGAGGTTTGAGCATCTGGCTCGTTTCTACTCTCAGGCCATATCTGAGGCTTGGGGATGTAGGGAGTTTGAAGGGGGGGTGAGGCGTGAGCTGAAGAGGGGCATAGTACCTATGTCTATAGTGGAGTTTCTTGCCTTGGTTGAGAAGGCAAAGACTGTTGAGAGATTGAACAGTGGTAGTAGCAGCGACAAGGCTGCTAGAGTTCAAGAGGGATCATCCGGATCTAGGAGTGCTTCGAGGCCACCTAGGCCTACGGTTGCGGGGAGAGTGTTTGCTTTATCAAGTGTAGAGACTTCCACTTCATCAGATTTGGTGAAGAGGAAAGGGAAAGCAGCAGGTGAGGATGTTTTGTTCCTGTTTAATTCTGGTGCCACATATTCATTTATTTCTATCGATTGTGTGGGGAGATTGGATTGTCGGTGTCTGCATGGCACGTTGTTTTGTATGTATTTACCCTGGCTTCAATTTCTTTGGTGACATCGAAGATGTGTGTGAGATGCCCAATAGAGGTGGATATCGACATAATCTTAGGGATGGATTGGTTAATTGCCCATCACATCCTTATAGATTGTGCTCGAAAAGAGTTAGTATTTCCTTAGTTAGAGGATGGGGTGTTGTCAGTGGGTCAGGCTGAGTAGTCGATGAGAGATGGAGCTGAGTGCTTTGTTTGCCTCTTTGAGTGTTGAGACAGAGAGGGCCATCATTGGGATTGGGATTGTAAGTGAGTTTTCTAAGGTGTTCCTAGATGATGTGTCAGGATTGCCACTTATGCGTGATGTTGTGTTTAGCATTGATTTGGTACTGGGTGTAAGACCGGTATCAATGGCTCCTTATAAGATAGCTCCAGCTGAGTTGGTAGAGCTGAAGAAATAGATTGAGGATTTGTTGGAGAAACAGATGGTGAGGCCCAATGTTTCTCATTGGGGTGCCCCGGTATTGTTAGTGAAGAAGAAGGATGGTGGGACCCGTTTGTGTGTTGATTATGGGCAATTGAATAAGATGACGATAAGGAATAAGTATTCACTTTCGAGGATTGACAAATTGATGGATCAGTTGAGGGGAGCTTCGATATTTTTGAAGATTGATTTGAGATTCGGATACCATCAGATAGGGTAAAGGAGAGTGACATACCGAAGATTTCTTTCAGGACTAGGTATGGTCATTGTGAGTACGTAGTGATACGTTTCTGATGGAAGAGCATGGGCTAAAGGCCCAACCACTAGAGCAATGGCCAGGAGGTTACTTGAAGATTTGACTGCTTCAGAGCTTAGTGGGCCCAATGGGCTTGGTGGGCCTAGGGTGCTTCTCACTTGGACTTTGATTGAATGAACACCATGTTTGAATGTATTTTCTTAGCATAGGAATTTACTTTGTTGTTGGTCTTGTATTTTGACCATAAATTAGGGTTTAGGTGTATTGGGCTTAATTTTGGGCTTCTTGGGCTTTGGGCTTTTGATACCCAATATTGGGCTCATTCTCCTTCTTGTATTTTTTCCTATTCATTGTATTCACTAGACCATTGTATTTTGGTCATTAGATTAGGGTTTAAGGAGGATTAGTAGTTCATTTGAGTTAGGACAAATTAGGTTAAATTTAGGATGGATTTAAGTTGCATTTAGGTCACACTTTTGGCACCACCTTGGCTACACAAGTGTGACACCGAAATGCAACCCTAAATACATACTAAATTCAACTTAATTTGCATTTAGCTACACATGACCGGTTATGCACATGTGACACAAGGTTTGAATTCAAATTTGAATTTGAATTCAAATCTTGGCGCCAACATGTGACCTATCATGTGGCGCCAAGTGGCTTCCCAAAATTCGGTGACCTATATGATCCCTCCTAAAACAATTTGTATTCACTTTTGATCATAATTGAAATTTGTGAGCCATTGGCCGAGTTTCCTCTCTCAAAAGTCCCTTAGAGTTCATCTTCAAAACCTTAGGATTTCACCTTAGAATCCTTCTCTTTGAAGTGTGCTCTCCATTGATGCTTGAGCTTGGATGCTTCCCTCCTAGTTCTAGGTTGAGTTCATCCGTGAGTTCTTAGCTTCTAAGCGTTCTTGAGTTGAAGAATCAAGTCTTCATTGAAGAAGATCCGGCCTAAGCAAATCCGTGGAGAAGATCATCCATCACTTCTCCTAAGTTTGCTATCAGTTTCAGTGTCACTAATGCTCCAACAGTGTTCATGAATTACATGAACAGGACTTTTAGGTCATTCTTGGACAGGTTTGTGGTGGTCTTCATTGATGATATATTGGTGTATTCTAGATCTTTAGAGGATCACCGTGAGCATCTGAGGTTGGTTTTAGAGGTACTAAGGGAGAGGTAGTTGTATGCCAACCTGTACAAGTGAGTTTTGATTGTCTGAGCTGAGATTTGGGGCATGTGATATCGACAGAGGGGATTGTAGTGAATCCAGCCAAGGTAGAGGCTGTGATTCAGTGGGAGCGTCTGAGGTCTGTTATGTAGATTAGGGTTTTTGGGTTAGCAGGTTACTATCGGAGATTCATAGAGGATTTCTCTCGAATAGTAATGCCTTTGACTCAACTAACCCGGAAGGATCAGCTTTTTGTTTGTATGGACGCTTGTGAGCAGAGTTTTCAGGAATTGAAGGGGTGATTGACTAGTTCTCCAGTTTTGGTGTTACCTAACACTGGTGAGTATCTTGATGTGTTTTGTGATGCTTCTTACCAGGGGTTGGGCTGTGTGTTGATGCAGGAAGGGAGAGTAGTAGCGTATGCTTCGAGGCAACTTAAGACTCGTGAGAGGAATTATCCTACTGATGATTTGGAGCTTGCAGCTGTGGTGTTTTCCTTGAAGTCGTGGAGGCACTATCTGTGGTGCGAGATTCAGTGTATTTAGTGATCACAAGAGTTTAAAGTACTTGTTTGATCAGAAGGAGTTGAATATGAGGCAGGAGAGATGGATGGAATTCCTAAAGGACTTCGATTTCCAGTTGATGTATCATCCTGGGAAGGCGAGTGTGGTAGTAGATGTATTGAGTAGGAAATCCATTCATGGGTCGGTTATGATGATTAGAAAGTTGGAGCTGATTGAGCAGTTCAGAGATTTGAGACTAGAGGTGGAGGTTTTTCAAGATCACATTAGTTGTGGTATGATCACCATAATTAATGAGTTCTTGAGACAGGTGGGAACTACGCAATTTCAAGATCGAGAGTTGTTGAGGATTTTGGAGTTGCTTGGTACTGAGAGGGTAGCTGATTTTGAGCTTCGTGTTGATGGAGATTCTCGAGTGGAAGTATGATAATGTCACTAAGGACTTTGTGGTTGGGTTGCCTAGGACAGCTAGAAATAGTGACTCTATTTGGGTGATTGTTAATAGGTTGACAAAGTGTGCGCACTTTCTTCCTGTCAAGAGGTGGTTCTTGGAGAGGCTTGCACAGTTGTATATTAGAGAGATAGTACGTTTGCATGGAGTCCCTGCCAGTATTATCTCTGACAGAGATCCAAGGTTTTCTTCCAGGTTAGCAGACTTTGTATCAGGCTTTGGGGACGAGGTTGAGGTTGAGTTCCACTTATCATCCACAGACAGATGGTCAGTCGGAGAGGACAACTCAGTCATTGGAGGATCTCTTGAGATCTTGTGTGTTGGATCTCTTGAGATCTTGTGTGTTGGATCATCTGGGTAGTTGGGAGGAGGTGTTACCATTGGTAGAGTTCACTTATAATAACAGTTATCACTCACGTATTGGCATGGCGCCTTTTGAGGCTTTGTATGGCGGAGGGGTAGGACTCTATTATGTTGGTATCAGGAAGGTGAGTCAGTAGTGGTTGGTCCAGAGTTATTCTTTAGACTACTGAGATGGTGAGATAGATTCAGGAAAGGTTGCGGGCTACCGAGAGTCGACAAAAGTCCTAGCTGATAAGAGGAGGAGACCTCTAGAGTTTGAAGAGGGAGAACATGTGTTTCACATTTCATAGTTGAGGAAGTACATCAGAGACCCGAGTCAAGTGGTAGAGATGGATGAGGTGCAAGATAGAGAGAACTTGACCTATGAGAAGAGACTGGTAGCTATGGTTGATCACAAGTTGAAAAAGCTTCATGGCAAGTCCATCAGCTTGGTGACGATTGTTTGGGATGCAGCTACTGGTGAGGTTACCTGGGAGGTGGAGAGCCGGTTCAAGGAACAATATCCATTCCTCCTTTCATGTAAGCCTATTTTTGGGGACAAAAATTCCTATTTGTTGGGGGGTATTGTAACGTAGTAAGTTGTTTTAGAAAGCCCAATATAGGTGATTTAGTAGTCCAGAAAGGGTCGTTCCCAATCTGGAACGGGCCGTTCCAAGCTATTAAATTTACCTGTAATTCGTGGTTGAGAACGGGCCATTCTAGAGGGAGAACGGGCCGTTCCAAATTCTAGAACGAGCCGTTCTGGTTGGAGTACAGGGCGTTCTGGATGCAGAACAGGCCGTTTTGGATGAGTCCCAGAATGGGTCGTTCTGATTTCAGAACGGGCCATTCTGCATGTAGTTTTTGTACGTGCTGAAGGAGTGTAGAACGGGCCGTTCCGGTTTCGGTACAGGCCGTTCTGGCCACTCCGAAAAGTCTATAAATAGGGGTTGAGGGCTTTGAGGAGAATGCGAGTTTTAGAGAGAAGTTTTAGAGAGAAGGTCTCTGGATTAGGAAGCTTACTTTGGGAAGATTGAAGTTTCGGGTTCAGCTTCGAAAGGGAATTCTACTTCTTCTCAGTTATTGGCTATTCCGAGTCAATCTTCAGGTGAGGGAAGCTAGAATGTAAGTTGTTTAATTTCAGGAGAGTTAGGAAAGTTTTATGAATGGTTTCTTTTATTGAAATAGTTGAGTTGTTGGGTGCTTAAGTTGATTTATGTTATTTATATAAGTTGACATTATAGATGAATTTTAAATATGTTGTATATTGCTGAAGTTGTTTATAAAGTTGTTAAGTTGCTATACGTTGTAAAACTAAAGTGTTTTATGTTGTTTATTGTTG